ACCCCGGGGCATGGATAAGCGTGATATGTTTTATCTTTTTGCTATTCTGTTTCCCCTCATCCACCTTTCACTTTTTCTACACTACATTATCTTTTCTCTTCTTTTTTTCCCCATAAATATAAAGGCTCAACAGCTAACGTTTTTTGTAATTAATGGCAGGTTTTTAAATCCTAAAAATATTCCCTCATAGATACTACTTAGCAATTTTGTGTCCCTGAAAAATGAGGAGCTCGTTCTAACGGTATCATATGGGAGAAAAATAGATTAATATAATCGTCATAAGGTTAATTGAAAAAAAAACATTTAAATCATGTACTACTACGCTAACCAATGCACACTCATAAAAAAGAAGAGTAATATGAACCTTTATCAATTCAAATACCGTTAAGAACTCATGAAAATAGAGGAGCTTTTGGATTGAATTTGGGCTGTAAGAGTCCAAAGTGATAAGTATGGGCCGAATGGCAAACAAATAGTTCTTGCGAAGGAGGGTGTGAGGGTTATGAATTTAGCTGGACTTCTGTTACAGTGATGATTCTCTCTTTAAGGCCCAGCCTAATGGTTTGAATTGCTAAAGAAAGTTTTAAGTTGTGTAATCAACCAAAAACTGTGATAGGGACAAGTATTCTTTCAATCATTTTTATTTGAGCTCGGTGGGGCTGTACTATTGTTATGGAATCTTTTTTTCTCGAAAAATTATATCGTATATACGAGTAAAATGATAAATAAAGTATTTAAATAACAATATTATGGACTCAAAAATGTGCTGTAGTCAAGTGATTTTAAGCTCCTAAAAAAATCAAGGCACACAAATTTAAAGTGTTTGCGTGTTCAAATCTCATAGCTGGCTCACCTTAGCAATGTAGTTTAATTTATTTTTCACTTTTAAAATAAAAATAAGGTCAATTTTTTAAAATTCTAACTCTGTCACTATTTTTAATAGGGAGTGTTACTGTTGCTTTAGAAATATAATCTCACAACCTCAGCTCTCATGTTTTTCTGAAAATAAGTGTTACCTTAAAAGTTCAAGACAAAAAATTTTCTGCTTTTTTCATCTATAATCTTATACTCCATTTTTTAATAGTGTTTAAAAATCCCTATTAAATGTGGATTGCTTAATAAACTATATGTTATATTTATTAATTTCTGAATCGACGTAATTTTTTTAAAGTAACACTTAACAAAAAGAAATATTTTACTATAATATCCATATTTATTGACATTTAGTATTAAATTTTTGAAAAAAATTGTAATTAACAAAATATAACTTTGTTTAAATCATTTATTCCTTCAATAAATTATGATTTGCTACCATTTGCAACAAGGTCCACAAAAATATTGTGTGGATAGGTCAAACACGGCTACGTAATAGCACGTCTCCAGAACATTCCAATACGGCAATACCCATTAAACACGTTCAAATATTTCCCCTGATCGGTCAGATTAGAAAAAAGAACATTCTAGAGACGTAACACGCACACAAAATGCCTAACCCGAAGCCATTATATACTCCTCCTCTTCCTTCTTCTCTTCACATCTCATTCAGTATTTTCTTCTTTCTTTCAAAACCTCATTTTCTCTTGTAGCTCTCTATTTTTTCTTCTCTGATAACCGTCGCAGTGTAAAGCAATGGCCGGAAAAGGTGAAGGACCGGCGATCGGAATTGATTTGGGGACTACGTATTCTTGTGTCGGCGTTTGGCAACATGATCGTGTGGAGATCATCGCTAATGATCAAGGAAACAGAACTACACCGTCTTATGTCGGATTCACTGACACTGAACGTCTCATTGGTGATGCTGCTAAGAATCAGGTCGCCATGAATCCAATTAACACCGTTTTCGGTAAGCTTTTGATTTTCCGATCTCATCATTTCTTATACATTTGTTGCTGTTTTGAGTAATTTGCTTCTTCATGAGTTGTATATCTAGTACGTTTTGTGATTTGTTGCGAGATCGAGTCTGATGATCAATGACGTGATGTGATTCGTTTGGCTTGGTTTATATAAGTCTGTATTATTTTTGCGAGTACCTTAACAGTCCAAAATCACGTACAAAAATCTAATATATGTGGCTATGTCCAGTAAACAGATTTGCATTGTCCTGATCTGGATTCTGAATTATACTATATAATTTGTCTGGTGAATTAGATGAGGTATAAGCAAGCTGATATGATATTAGTACTATTGAATAAGCAACCTGGTAATATGAATAGTGGAATAAAAACGTGTGCTGAGCCTATAAGCTCAGCACCGGTGCTATGTTGAGTGGATTAATCAGGTAATCTGACATGAGATGATAACATCTTTGTTATTAGAAACAAAAAGGCTACGACCGATCTGCCTTATACATCATAAGAACTTGACTGAATGGAGTACATCAGTGTATATTGGTGTGGTGAATTCAATTGGATTTGTAATGTAGGTCTGGTCATTGGTGTGACAATTGTTGATTCTTATTGGTGATGTTGAATTTGATATTGTGGCACTCTTTTGTTTCCTTAGTCGCTTAGTACTGGGGATCGTGGGATTTTTGGCATTATTTTTATCTGGATGTATTATCATTGCTAGACGTGCAGTGTTTATATGATTTCAGTTTTGGTATACATCTAGTGCTCACTGTGCTTTCAATTGGCAGATGCAAAGCGGCTTATTGGTAGGAGGTTCAGTGATGCGTCTGTACAAGAGGACATGAAATTGTGGCCTTTCAAGGTTATTCCTGGCCCTGGTGATAAGCCAATGATTGTTGTTACCTATAAGGGTGAAGAAAAGGAATTTGCTGCTGAAGAAATCTCTTCTATGGTCCTGACAAAGATGAAGGAAATCGCAGAGGCCTTCCTTGGATCTACTGTGAAAAATGCTGTGGTGACTGTGCCAGCCTACTTCAATGACTCACAACGCCAGGCTACAAAGGATGCAGGAGTTATTTCTGGACTAAATGTCATGCGTATTATTAATGAACCTACAGCTGCTGCCATTGCCTATGGATTGGACAAAAAGGCTACTAGTGCAGGGGAGAAGAACGTGCTTATATTCGATCTTGGTGGTGGTACTTTTGATGTATCCCTCCTCACTATTGAAGAGGGTATCTTTGAGGTGAAGGCAACAGCAGGAGACACTCACCTTGGAGGTGAGGATTTTGATAACAGAATGGTGAACCATTTTGTCCAGGAATTCAAGAGAAAGCACAAGAAGGATATCACTGGTAACCCAAGAGCTCTAAGAAGATTAAGGACAGCTTGTGAGAGGGCTAAGAGAACTCTCTCTTCCACTGCTCAAACAACAATTGAAATTGATTCCCTGTATGAGGGAGTTGATTTCTATTCTACCATTACCCGTGCCAGATTCGAGGAGTTGAACATGGATCTCTTCAGGAAGTGTATGGAACCAGTTGAGAAATGTTTAAGGGATGCCAAGATGGACAAGAGCACCGTTCATGATGTTGTTCTTGTCGGTGGATCCACTAGAATTCCCAAGGTGCAGCAGTTGCTGCAAGACTTCTTCAACGGCAAGGAACTCTGCAAGAGCATCAACCCAGATGAGGCTGTTGCCTATGGTGCTGCTGTGCAAGCTGCCATTCTCAGTGGAGAAGGTAATGAGAAGGTCCAAGACTTGCTGCTTTTGGACGTGACACCACTTTCTCTTGGGTTAGAAACTGCAGGTGGTGTGATGACTGTCTTGATTCCAAGGAACACCACAATTCCTACCAAGAAAGAGCAGGTATTTTCCACTTACTCTGATAACCAACCCGGAGTATTGATTCAGGTGTTTGAAGGTGAGAGAGCAAGAACCAGAGACAACAATCTGTTGGGTAAATTTGAGCTCTCTGGTATTCCCCCTGCTCCTAGGGGTGTGCCTCAGATCACGGTCTGTTTCGACATTGATGCAAATGGTATCTTGAATGTCTCTGCTGAGGACAAGACTACTGGACAGAAGAACAAGATCACAATTACCAATGACAAGGGTAGGTTGTCAAAGGAAGAAATTGAGAAGATGGTCCAGGAAGCTGAAAAGTACAAGGCAGAAGATGAAGAACTCAAGAAGAAGGTGGAGGCTAAAAATTCATTGGAGAACTACGCTTATAACATGAGAAACACAGTGAAGGATGAGAAAATTGGTTCTAAGCTTAGCTCGGACGACAAGAAAAAGATTGAGGATGCCGTCGATCAGGCAATTTCATGGCTTGAGAGCAACCAGCTTGCAGAAGTTGATGAGTTTGAGGACAAGATGAAGGAGCTCGAGGGCATCTGTAATCCCATCATTGCAAAGATGTACCAGGGTGCTGGTGGTGACGCAGGTGTTCCTATGGATGATGATGCTCCACCATCTGGTGGTAGCAGTGCAGGACCTAAGATTGAGGAGGTTGATTAAGCGGTTGATAAAGATACTAGTTGGTTTCATTTTCATTAGTATAGTTTAGTAGATTACTTTGAATTGGCTCTTGTTTCAAGTTTTGTGTTGTAATTTCTTACTGATGTTTTTAAATAGCGATACTGAGTTGGCAATGTCTTGCTGTTTACTACGAACTCTTTTTGGACTTCTGTTCGATGTTAAAACTTTTTGCCTACTAACCAGGAACCAGGAACAAACTAACAACTGGCCGAAAAGACAATTTGATTAGCAATTATTCTGCCAAAACTATCAAACAAAAGCATTACCTGGAAAAAATAGTTACAAAGTTTATCATCTTATTTTAAAGCAGATATTTGTTGGAAATCTTGCTGCTGCAACTTAATAAGTTAAGCATACCTAATCATAAGTTTGATTCAAAACCATGAGTTCTCTCGTTAGCATATCTTATTTTCCAGCAACTGCATAATATGCTATTGCTGTTGTTTTTTCTTTGGCCATTATTGCTTTTGAATAAGCAATTCAAGTGCAAATCAAAAGCCATTGATCCGTAATTTCAGGTACAAATCATGCCTTAGCCCTTCACCCCACAACTTGGTGGTGGCTTTTGATCTTAAATAAATTAGTTGAAATTTTCAGATGTACATACTAAGTTAGAGCTCACGTTCCCAGAATCCTCCATTTTGCAACATAGTTTATAGCTGACTGATGACAATGAACATGTTAACTGTTCGTAATACAGCAAAACCAAATGAGTGAATATTTATTCATAGTAAAAACGAAAAAGTCATCCTGCAAACACTATTTGATGGTTCATCAGAAGCAACTCACTGAAACTTCCCCAGAAAGAAGGAGAAGTTTTGGAACATAGTCATAGCCAGCTCTTTAAAGCTATGACATGGTAAGGCTTTTTATTAAGTTCAAATGCCTGCTAAATGACACACCAATGCACAACACTGTTAGCTTATGCACAAGCAATTTGATACATACTACCTTCTTCCCCTGTTAAGCCTCTGGAGGTGATAATTAATGCTACCCCAAGGTTTTCTGTTTTTGCCCTGTAAAAAAGGTGCACCGCAGGGCAATGTTAATGGGGAGCATATTAAACCATATGGAGTACTATTTGTGGCAAGCAAATGAATAAAACCAAATATTTTTTTCTAACTAACAATAAAGAATAGAAAACAAACAGGGTTTGAGAACATATACATACCTGAGCCTCCATGCATGCACTTAAAAGTGATTTTTGCCTGCTGCATTTATCGTCCTTGTTATGATTTAGAGTCAAACAATTAAGAAATGTGACCATATCCTTCACGCAAGGTTTTTGGAGACTTCCGAAGTTCTTTGGGTTTATGAATAAGGTACCGGCTTTGCGGCCCATCCTTCAGCAGTTCAAACTATAAAGTATAAAAGACAGATCATGCTTGGTATAGCTGGAAATAAGATCTGCAGGGGGGCTAATAGGAGAAAATCACAGGTAAATGCAAGCATCTAGAGAGCATCAATCATATAAGATTACAATCTTTCTGGGAGAAAGACAAGCACAATGAACTATATTTTCAGAGAACAGAGAACACTAGTTTCACTTAGGTTTGCCAAACAAGAAACTCTCAACAAATAAAAGCAACCAAGAAACATATGCACATAGAACAAAATGAGATTTGGTGATAGTATTTTTACCAAATATATAGTATGCCCACATATCCAGAAACAAATCCATTAATTTCATAACCAAAGTCTAGTGTTGGATGCCATATTTAACTTGTGTGAGATGGCAAGCCCTATTAGGCATTAGCTACTAGCTAACCTTGTCAACACAATAACCGCAATCCAGATCTGCTCTGTCCTTAAGCCACTAAATGTATCTTTTCTTAAACCATTTAGTCCCATACTTGTCCTCCCTCACTGAAATGACAACAACACTTGATTCCTATTTTACTTTTTGAATTGGCTTGAGGTATTAGAAGAACCATAGCTTTTTTTTTTCCAAAACATTACTTGTTATTTGACATAGTCACATATAGTGGCAAAGCCAGGGTTTTCACTAAGAGGTGTCAAAATATGAAAGATTAAACCCACAAAAAAGACGAGAGGAATCAATATATAGTAAAAGAAAAAACTCTTTTACCTAGTAACACGTTGTAATTGTCCGACTAAGGGGTGTCAACCATTGAATACATATGGCTCCGCCACTGATCACATAGAAACTTCAGCACAATTGATGCTTACAATCAGGCATGTCTGATTTAGAAACACACTGAAGTACTTATTATGCTATGCGTGGAGCAGGCATATATATTGATCAAACAGCTGAATTCACCCTACTCCCCTTCTTCCAAATTAGTGACTAAAGAGTGGTCACTTTTTCTTATTTTCAGAAATAAATAAATGAGGTGATCATTTTTCAAGTCAGAAACAAGTAGTATCATACAAAAAGTTTTGGTAGACTCTGGCATCTAACTATAATATCACTTTTGATAGGTAACTAAAATCTTGACGGGGAAAAACTTATCAATCTATATCGATAATCAAGTTTGTTTTGATTACCTAGACTCACTGGCACATATATGGGTCTGCCCCTCTACCCTTCTTCACTTATATACTAGCCTATTGCCTATGTCAGGATTCAAACTCATGACGAGCATCTAAACCCACACCATCACTCTCTTACCACTAGACCAAAGCCCTAATGTCCTATCTTCAACTCAATATCCTACATGAATTGATTTTTTTGTTTCAAGATGTAACTTAATTCAATGCTGTATAATTAATTCTTAAATTTGAAAAGAGCAATTAGTCTTTTGGAGTATCATGACAACAAATTTTATAATTTCCATTTCAGTGCTGAATTCTAACAAGGATTATTACCAGAACACTATAAAAATACGATTTATGGTTCTCTTTTCCCCTAATTAAAATCTGTTTGGGTTAGAGAAATACTTTTTATGGCATTGAAGCAAATACAAAATACAAATGCAGATTAAGTAATAAAAATTAAGGAAACTTACAACTTCAAATCGATCGCCGGAGAAAAAGATATTCGCCACAGAGAAGATGGAGAAGTTCGCGACCGAGAAGAAAGTAGAAACTCAAGTGGGTAAATTTCTAAATGGGCCTTAAAACGGGCTAAATTGAAGTTTAAATTTCTAATCAACTTTATGGATCATTTTCACAAATATCAACAGTTTAGTTTTTTTTAAAAAAATTGACTAGTGATCACTATATTTAATCCTCGTGTATTTTAGAAAGAAATTTGTGGTTGATATAGAAATTTGTGTTATCAATATTTCATGGTAACATTCTCTAAGTAAAAATTCACGGCGGTGGGTATATATATTAATAAATCAGAGTATTTTTTTATTATAGAGAATAAATGGAGAATAAATAGTATAGTACATCAAATATTAATCAGGCTTCACAACCTAACAAAAGCCCCACCAATAGTTATGACCCATAAATTCCAAAAGAAAATAACTTTTTTTCCAGAAAACAACGAAAAATAATTTATAAGATTGTCACTGATGAGCTCACAAAATTAAGATCAAATAGACTCAATTAGATATATTCCTGAAAATTTATGTACACACAAATATTTGAGAAAATCTTGATTTTTTGTTTTCTTTTTTGTCCAATCCTTACATCCAAACTAAAATAGGCGCAAATATTTTCCGATCTATAAAATATTTATCAACAAATAATTGGATTGAATTTTATATAATGTACACCTTATATTGAAAATAAGAACAATTGTGTCAAAAACATCTAGACTTGACTACCAGATGTATATATTTTATCAAAATGTCCTAAAAGAGAGGATTAACAACCATATGATAAAAAAGATATGATTTCATTCTTAATAACAAGATAAAAATTTACATTGTTTATTACAATGTTCACTTATTTAGGAATTTTATGACCTTTTGGCTTTTGCTTTTATGGATCAAATATATGGAGTCTGTAGCCTAAAGAGTATAAATTATTAATAAAAATTTTAAAACGGTATATGAATTTTTATTTTAACCAAAAGGGCAAAATCGCTAGAAGAACAGCGATGTTACTCACAAAAAAAACAAAATCGCTGCAATAACAGCGTTTCCAAAATAATTTTTTTAAATAATTTTTTAATAAATCGCTGCCTAAGCAGCGATTTCTTTTAACTTTTTTTTTTCAATTTATTATTTGAAATTAAAAAAAAATGAAGAGCAAATCGCTGCAAGTGCAACGATTTGTCTCCATTTTTTCTTTTACATTTTTTTTAAAAATTTTGATCACTACTTATTTTTAAAAATCAATAAAAAAATTATTTTGGAATAAGTAGTCAATTTTTTTAAAAAAAAATATTTTAAAACTTTTAAAATAAATTTTTAAACTTTTTTTAGAAATTTTAATTTTAAATTCTTTACTACTTATTCCAAAATATTTTTTTTTAATAAGTAATTAAAAAAATTGATTTAAAAAAACATATAAAAGAATTGGAGACAAATCGCTACACTTGCAGCGATTTGCTCTTCATTTTTTTTTTAATTTCAAATAAAAAATTTTAAAAAAAAAGTTAAAAAGATCACTGAGCAGCGATTTATTAAAAAATTATGTTAAAAAAATATTCTTAAAATCGCTGCTATTGCAGCGATTTTGCTTTTTTCGGCGAGCAACATCGCTGCTCTTCTAGCGATTTAGCCCTTTTGGTTAAAATAAAAATTCATATATCGTTTTGAAATTTTTGTTAATATTTTAACCTTTTAGGCTCCGAACTCCAAATATATGCATTTCGGTTCTAGCTCCTTGCTATTACGCTTCCCTACTTTTTTTTTCCAACTTCACATTTAGATGAATTGCATGCTTCATATTTAACTTGGTTTAAATTATTAATATAAGCAAAAATCATAACTATAATTAAGTGAATAAGTTATAAACTAATACTCGATATACACTCTCCCAATTTTTATAAGAAAAAACTATTCCTCGCGTGCTCAATAATATCATTAGTTTCAAATCATATCTTAGCGTCATAATTTAACCTATATCTGCTTCTTCCTTCATAACTCATCAATCCAACTAGTGAACTCACACTAGACCTATTATCCATGCCATCGAGACATTGAATTGACGTAAAATAACACTTGTTAACCCTTTCATAATGTTTACACGAGCCCAAACTTTTAAAGTTCTAGATGATAAATAAAACTAATTTAGGATTGGCAATTTGTTTTTCTAAACCCTAAAAAGGAAAAAACCCAAATCATATACACTAACATTGTGAATTACACTGTACATATAAAAGTATGTACACCACAAATTATGAAATCAATTTGAGATAAAACATAGGTAAGATAGATAGTGAGATTTTACCAACAATAGTTAGAGAAGAAGGGTGATAAATCTTCTTTAATTCACAAAATGAAACCACAATTACATTCACAACATATTGCACTACATATTACTAGATCAAAAAGGATAATATGATCACATGTACTACTATTTGAGATCAAAACTCAACCACTAACAAAAACAAGAAGCCAACTAGATGAAACACACTGTTACTACCAAAACATCACAAATCTCAATACTAACCAACTCTCACAAGGACCCTTTTAATTTCCACATAGAAAGTTAAAGACTGGCTGAGGTCTATCAGAAGCACCAATTCCAAGATCAGTAAAACAGTTCACTTCCACTGAATTTGAAGTAGTATTACTGGATAGATGATCACGAGGAACACAAGTAGACGACGACGAAGAAGAGTCAGCTATTGTAGTCTTTTCTTGTAAAACCCCAGTTGGGTGCAGTGGAAAAAGATTCAATGTTTCTTGAGTTATAAACTCCTTATTTGCATTTGGGCTGTTGTTTTGTTCACAAAGATTCAGAGTTTCTTGATTACATGTTGCCCTTCTTTTGAAACCACCTGGTCCAGGGATGATCATACTAGGAACTGCTGGATACTGCTGATAAAACCCTAGATTGTTTTGTGCTGTGTAATAAGGGCTGCAAACAACTACAAAACCTAATTCCAATAAGTATTAATAGTATTATAATATACATAGATCTAACTTATAGGGAGTAATACTATAAAAAAAATACTTTACAAAAAGTGTATGTCATAATATCTAGTCGTTGAAGACATAGTTAAGTAAATAAATGTATCTTTCTACTAAAAAATTGATATAAATTTTTAGATAAGATAGTCACAATTTATACTCAATATTTTTTATTTTACTAATTTCATTTTGCGATGGTTATTAATTACAGTAACTTTTTAGATGACATAATTTGCGTAAATAAATAAAAACTTCTTAAACGTCATAAAAAAGGGTATGATAGAGAAAAACAAGTTTCCAGGTGGGGACTACTCCTAATAGCTAGTGTGAACACAGAAGTGAAGGCAGCAAAATGAAAAGAGACAATAAATGTCATCAGAAACTGAAAACATACTAAAAAAGGAAATAAAATCTGAAAAATAATAATAACTAAAACTGTACATCAAAAAGTTTTATAATCTCACAGAGATATCATATAATACGACAACTTCATTTTCCAAGCAAAAAATACTATTCGAGTCGAAAGATTTGATACGACTTTCTCTGTCTCAATTTATGTGTAGAGTTCAAACTACAAAGATCAAAACACTTTGGTTTCGATTATAAATATTTATGTAAAATGAAATGAATACGGAGAAAGTAAAAAATTAAATTACCGTTTGGGCAATTAGGTGGAGGAAAAACAGAAGTCCGATGAAGAAATCGATTGTAGTAAGCAAATTTATCTTGCTTCTGTTTCTGTCGTTGCCTTGCCTTATGATTTTGAAACCAATAAAATACATTTTTACCCTCAATGTGACCAAAAGCCCTTAACCTCCCAGTAATTTGTTGTATTTGGTCAGCACTTGGTGTCCTTATCCCTTGCTTATATAAACTTTCAAGCAAATCAATTTGTTCCTTTGTTGGATTCCATCTACATCCAACTGGACTTCCACCAGATGTTATCATATCAACACTACTATCACTCATTTCAATATATTTTCTATAAGAAAGAAAAATAAAACAGAGAAAAATTAAATAATATTCTTAATAATATTTCTTGCATGGCTTTTAGACTTATATATAAAAATAAGAAAAGGGGGATTGACATGCGTATTGTTTTTGGTGCTGAAAACATGGCGGTTAGCGGCCGATAGGAGGGATTTTTCGTCTTGGTATGAATGTATGCATGCATGAAAAGACCTAAATGCCCCTATATTGGACTTGTCTCGGGAAGGAAAAGAAATGACTAAATGTTGGGAAAATGATAGGAAGATAGGTAGGGGTAATTGAGGTAATTAGAGAAAAAGACAGCCGGTTGGGTTGTAAGGTGTAGGGGCTATGCTTTGGGAATTGTAGTTAGTTAGAGAGAGAGAAAGACTCTGCAGGCTCTTTCTTTAGTTTACATACAGTGAAACTGCCACAATAACAAAACATTATAACCACACGTTATTTTTAATTAGAGATTTTAAATATAATACAATTTTAATTAATAATATTTAATTTTTTTAAAATTTAATTGAGATCTAATATAAATATCGAATAAAAAATTAAAAAATAAATAAAAATTAAAGAGCAAAAGAGATTATTCATTATCCCCGTAATCAGTCATTATTACTTCAAAGGAAGGAATAAATAAATGAACCAATAATATAGACGTAACAAAATATTTTCAGTTTTCACAATTAAATTACTTCTAAATTTTATGTGCTGCCTTCGGTCGTCCCATACTATGTAAGATTATTGACACGTAATAAAATATTTTCACAATTAAAATACTTATAAATTTCATGTGCTTCGTCCCATTTTACGAAAGATTATTAGGAATACAACCATCAAACTATTTTATCTCTTCCTATGCGTTTTTTTTTTTACTTTTTGATAACTTAAATCCACAACCTTAAAATGAGCCTAACATCACAAAAATTAACTTATCACTCATCAGTCTATCACTATTGCAACAAGAAGAGAAGTCTAATACAACTCATGTAACAGTAAAAAATTATTCTATCAAATAAAAATAAGAGAAATAGTTTTTACAAGTAGCATTTCCATAATTATGATTTATGACCTCCTCCTCACACCCTCCAACACATGACCCATGGTATCAACAAAAGAAAAAGAAATGTGTAGGTAGATATATAATTTGAATTATGTGTGAAATCCAATAAAGGAGGCTCTTTGAATTATGTTGAGTGGCGTATTGAGGAATGAGGCAATCACGGTTTGTGAATGTATATATAAATGAGGATTCTTGGTAATCTAACAAATAATCCTGGGATTGCATCTCTTTATATGATCTCGTGTCCAACTTAATGATCACTTCCTCTTTTGTCTTCTAATTAATGTTTTTATTCCTAATACATTTACCCCTATTAATACGATCAACAACAATTTTAACGAGTTCACAAATTAAGTAGGTGCAAGAGGTTTATTCAAATCAAAAAATTTTACTTAGGCTGGAGTCAAAATATTGAGTATGTTTATTTTTATATTAAGTTGTTCATAAAAATTCAGACTCATTGTATCAGACTTGAAAAAATAAGGAATTGTTTTTGTATCTTTAATAATGTAGGTTGAACGATTGTATTATTATTAAAATGTTTGAAGATATGCTTGGCCGATACTAAACTTATTTTTATTTATATCTACCTGATTTAAAACTTAAGAGGATCTACTTCATTCGTTTTCTTATTTTATATTGAAAATATTTATCTGTATTTTTTTTTTGATAAATTAAGAAAATTTATGTCACTGGTGAATCTGTTGGGATTAATAGGTGTAAATCCCTATATATTCGACGTTTGTGACTTCACTAAAATGTAATTATCACCGCCACCCTATATAATTAATCCTCATATTTACTCACGCTGATCAACTTCCCTGCTTCCATAATAATTTGCTAAAACAATTGGTTTTCCCAGATTTGAGCGTATTTTCAAGACAAGTAAATTAGAATCATTTAATATTATGTTTTCTCTCCGTTATTTATTCCTCAATGTACAAAAGAAATCCTTAGGCAACTAAAATTTTAAATTTTTTATTATTATTTCAAAAAATGGCTTATAACATAAGCTATTTTTCAGAAATTAAAAATATAATAATTATTCAAAAAAAGAACTTTTGAGAAGCACAAATTGCTTGTGTACTGCTCTAATACGGTGATCAACCACTATCTTATATTTTGGAAAAAAGTACTTTCTGAATAAATAGATATTGAAATTTAGCCAATAAGCTAGTTATAATGATACATTGGATAAGGACAGTATATCACAGCCGTAAAGGGAGGTGGAACATGCATGATTCAAAGACTACTTTTCATAATTATGAGATAGTTCTGTTGACAGATTTTATTTATAGTTATATAATATATATATATATTCAATTAAAAATAGGACAAAATAAACAATTTTATTTTATCCAAAAAAAAGAAAGAAAAGAAATGTATGATGCATAAAAAAACAAAGTAGTTGATGTAAAAGAGAGAACTGAAAGGGAATGCATTTAAGGCAAACCAAATGGAGTAAGTACAAGAGAGTAACGTCGACCGACTAGAGCCTATCAGGCGCCGTATCGTGAAGACCAAATTCAACTCTTAACTCTACCTCAGGTTTCTCTTCTTTTTTTTTTAATAATATATTAGAGAAGTTTTCGTGCACATCGATTAATTTTGTAAATAATTAATATTTTTTATTAGTATTAGGTAAAAATGTTTATCCAAGCAAGAACATATCAAAAGAATCATATAATATTTTTTTTAATCTTAATTGATAATTGAACGTGAAACGTCATAATTTTTAATTACTTTATTGACCAATAGATTACACCGTTGAGTGGGTTTTTTGGGCACCAAATTCGACGCCGATAATCTCTCTCTTCACATTCTGAGTTTGAGAGATTCACCTGATCTACAGACTAGCGACAAAGTCCCTGCTGCCTTTTTTGGACTTGTATTGGGAATTTTGACTACCTAAGCAAGCTACCTTCTCCTCGACTCTATTGGAAATTTCATTCAACTAACCAATCAACTCTTCTTCTCATTCTAGTAGTCTAAAAAAGTGTTTACATTTTTACATTATCTTTATCACATCATATATATAATTATAGGTAATTAAAATGTAAAATTTGAAATCTCAAAAATAAAATTTGTAATCACAAACATAACAAAAATTACATTTTAATATTAACATGCACATAACTTCAATATTGTTTAGCCTATTTTGTCATACCATTTGAATGAGGCCAAACTTTACATAATTGTGCTCCATAGCAAACATAAAAACTATATAATTCGCTATACATATACAAGTGTATAATTCGCTGGCCTAAATTGTATAATTCGCTGGCCTATTTCGCTGCAATTGTATAATTTGTTTTGCATATAGTTGAATCGAATTAAAATGTATGTATATTGCATAATTATAAGTTTATAGCAAAAAAATATATGTTTTTCTCGCTTTATACAAAAACAGAAACACAATATATACACTTCTGTTATATAAAGCTAGAGAAAATTGTATTTCACTGCAATTGTATAATTCGCAATTGTATAATTCGTTGGCCTTTTTCTCTGCAATTTTTGAAGTAAAATGTTTGTAAATTGTATAATTAAGTGTATAACACGAAGATATACATTTTTGCATGTGTATATACAATTTTCTCTCGCTTTATACAAAACAGAAACAGAATTATACACTTCTGTGTATAAAGCGAGAGAGGCGAGCGAGAATGGAGAGTGGCGAGCGAGATTCCTGGGAGAGAGATGCTGGCAAATTTTAGATAATGTTTGCTATGGAACACAATTAAATCAAACCCTAACTATTCTATTTAATTTAGATTATTAGTTTGCTATTTTATATAATTTTTCCTTTAAAATATTAGTTAAATCAATCATATTTAACTTATTTTTATTTAACTCATATAGTTCGTTTGTCGAGCAAAGCAACTCGCTGGCTATATGGCCAAAACTGTCCGTCAATGATCAGGCGACCTATATTCGTACATTCCAGTATTTTTCCCGTATGGCCAAGACTGTTCTGTTGCTAGGCATTGACAACTTCCTATAATAAGCCAAAACTTATTTGATTTGGTCTTATAACTTTTTTTATTTTTAAAACCTTTAAAAAAATTATTTCTTCAATGTATTTGAGCTACTTTTATATAATATATCTGAGATACAACTACATAATAATATATTCAATTTGTATCACTTTTTAAGAGATTAATATAATTACAAAATAAAAAATAAGATTATAATTTAATACTAAAATATGTTGTTTCTACAAAATTTACGACTTTTTTATGGGTTAAATTTGTATAGTCCAACTAGCTAGAACGAGTTTGATTACCTATTTTAGCGTAGAACTATTTTTTTTTAGAGACTAACCTACAATTAATCTCCAACGTATTTTGAACGTAAGGTTCAATCCACCTCATGTTCCACCAGCTAATGAAAAACAACACATCTAGCCGATCGTTTATTAATTAAGCAGAAAGACTTAAGAAAGCTTATTAATAAAACAAAAAGACTGGAGCATCTATTTACTCAATTCTCTTAATTCATTCAAATGTAATTCAATTTTAAAAAGATTGCGTGCTTTAATTAATTAACATAGTTATAATATAAATTAAATTTCCTCTCTTCCTCACTCACACGCCTCTCTCAATCTCGCTCGCTAATTTCCTCTCTTCCTCACTCACACGCCTCTCTCAATCTCGCTCGCTAAATATGCTATATGTAGACACATATATACAATTTGACCCCGCCTCTCTCAATCTCGCTCGCTAAATACGCTATGTAGACACATTTTTGACCCAGCCTCTCTCAATCTCGCTCGCTAAATACGCTATGTAGACACATATATACAATTTGACCCAGGGTAGCGATCCAAATGCGACCCTGGCAGCCAGAGGCCCGCGATAACTCACCTTAAAACCTGGGCCCAAAGCCTCATCAGGTACCCAACCTTCCATCTCGACGCTCTCTTCACTCACTCAGGAAGAATCTAATCTACCAATCTCAATA